ATGCTCCGCCAGTTGGCGTGTCAGCGTGTGCATTTTATAGCACGGCAGTGTTCCTCCTTCGTCCATCTTTCTTCGATCTTCCTGCAAGTGCTCCACCACCCAGCGTGACAGCGCGTGCATTATGTGTTAAGGCAGTTTGTTCTCCGTCCTCTGGGTTTCTTCTGCACGTGCTCCGCCAGCTGGCGTGGCAGCGCGTGCATTCTATTTCAGGGCAGTTTTCGCCCCGTCCTTCGTCATTCCTTGTCCCTCCCGCACATGTTCGGCAAGGACCAGCAAACTACGGCCTCGACATTTCATCATAAAGCCAGTCAATGCCCCAAGCCTGTTCAGCGATCTCCTCGACGAACCCACAAGCCAAGACCTGCGCGTCGTGACAACGAAGAGGCAACCCTGGACGGCGCCATCGGGGCCACAAACACCTGCCCCCCCCACATGAGCGCCTGAAAAGCCCAAAAGCCAGCCCAAGGGAGCCCTGCGACATCCCATAACCGGCGCACGACGGACACAACTCTTCTCCGATTGCGAGTCGCTTGGAAACCCCGACCTCCGTTTCATCACAGCGCCATGGGCTGGATTAGAACCTCAGCGCGCGCGAAGCGCGCGCGTGGTTATAGTGTATGTGTATGTGTGCACGCGTATATGTATTCATATGTGCAAATATAGAAATCAAACGAACCAAACTTCCGACGATATTTCGATAATCTCAAATACCATTTTGATATTGCCTGTGCGGCCGTGGGGACTCCCAGAAGAGCCTGGCCCCTGTTTTTCAGAATAAGGCTAGCCTTAGCAATACGTGTAGGGCTGGCGCCCTCAAGCCCCTGGTGCGCGCAGCCAATTCTTTCTCGGAGGAGGAACAGGAACGGATACCGCTACCTTCGCTTCGCTTCCGCGATTTGGGGCCTCCTGGAAGGCTTTAATCGCCACCGCTGGAGTCGCATCGACATTCTGGTCTGAGCGCGCCCGGGGAGAGATCTGGGGAGTAGCGGTATCCGTACTTCCTCTTGGTGTCCAATATTCGTTCCGCTTGGATCGGCGCGGGGGTTGCTGAGCGGGTTCGGCTGCGAAATACGAGTCTTGCACCCGCCGATCGACGATTTGGACCACTCGATGGGCGGCGGAGTCAGGGTTCGGAGCTCGTCGAACCCTTGGCGAATCCGAACCCTACACCCGCCCCCCATAGATTGTGAATGCCTGACCGCCGGTGCCGCCTACCTTGAGAGACATCGCGAACGACGAGGAGGGGGAAGAAGGAGGAGGAGAAGGAGCAGGAGGAGGCTGAGATAAGGAGGAGGGGGAGGCGGAAGAGGAGGAACATGAGGAGGAGGAGGAAAACTAATTTCCCCTGGGACCCCCCCCCAGGAAGGAAAACCGGAGGAGGACCGGCGTTGGAGGGGAGGGGATGGGGAGGAGGACTCCCAGTCGACTACACGTAAGAGTGACCTTTCGCCGGAGTGACCTTTGGTGCGGGCGCATCGGGCTTCCCCCGATCGCCGAGGCGATGCGATTTAAGCGGTCCGCGCACTTGGGTTTGGCTCCCTCGCGACCCCGAAAGCTGCGCACCAAAGGTCACTTTTACCCAGGGTCACTCTTACGCCTAGCCGACCCCAGGGACGGATGCGTATTTGACCCCCCCCCGTGGGACTCCTCCCCACTTGGGGAGGAGGACCCGAGGAGGACCGGCGTGCCGCTGAAAGACCGGCGTGGCAGAGGAGGATCCCCACATTCGATGCGAATGTGATTCCCCCCCCCAGGGACCTTTCCCCCCCTTGCCGGGGAAGGGACAAAGGGAACGGGCTTCCTTTTGACGTAATGAGGACGTGGATGGGATGCCCTCAAGCTGCAAACCCGTTCCCCGAACGAGGAAGGGTGCTCTCTCTCTCTCTCTTTGTCTCCCCCGACGGCAGAGGAGGACGGGAAGGAGGGGGCGAAAGAAGGCCAAACGTCGACGGGACCGGACAGACACCCCACACACGCCGACAGGGTCGGCGGACTGTGGACACTTGATGGTTGATGGGGGTTGGTTTGGGATGTCGCAACCTAGTCCCATTCACATGCTCGAGCGACGCAGAGAAAAAGGAGTCGTGGTCGAGGACATTCGCGGGTAAGTTGCCCGCGTCGGGTCCCGCGTGAGTGCCCTCTTTCCGTCCGGCGTGCTGCGCTTGCGGCCTGCGTAAGCCACCGCGTTAAGCCAGCGCGCTATATTGTGCAAGACCCGTTGCTTTTCGTTGCTCTCGTGGATCGGCGCGAAGGTTGCTTTTGGAACTGGGGGGATCCCAGTGGATGCCAAGATGGGCCGTATCTGGCCTGACCTGTCTTCAAAGTAGGTCGCAGGTGCGCAAACGGGCTTCTGGGCATTGGCGATCCGGCCCAGCAAGTGGGCGGAGCCCACGTAGCGGATTTTCAAGCCCTCTCAGTCAGCAAGCAGGGGGTGTTGCGCCAGTAAGCCAGCAGTGGGGCCTGAAAGAAGGCAGCTTGGAGCATGTTGGACGCCATTCGGGCTATCTCGACAATCTTGGAGATGATCTTGGGCGCTCAGAGGCCCTCCTGGAGCCAGCTGTGAGCACCTGGACGCTCCAAGTTGCCTCTTGGCGCTCTGTTGGGGCGCTCTTGGGGCCTTCTTGGGTCGGTCGTGGCCATCTTGGGTCTCTCTTGGGGCCTCGTGCGCAATACTGGAAACATGTTGAGGCTTCGAAGCCAATCGGAAGCGAAACGGCGTGCATGCAACATCGATTCAAGGTTTTCAAGAATTTAAGCATCTGGGGGGCGGTCTTAGGAGGTCCGGAGGCCACCTGGGGCCGTCCAGGCGTCATCGTCGGGCCTCTTGGAGGCATGTTGGTAGCCATCTTGCGGCCTTCTTGGATCGTCTTAGGGCCTTCATGGAGGAGATCGATCAACCAACGGGGGTTCCAATCAACATCGTCCCTCTAAAGCCCCGAAGTTCGCCTTTTTGACGGATCCATCCTGGAGCGCTCTTGGGGCGATCTTGGGCGCTCTCGGAGCCGTATTTGGAGATCTCCTCGGCCTCTTTTGGGGCTGTCTTTGGCTGTGTCGGAGCCCTCTTGGGCCCTCGGAAGGTCATCGTAAGCAAAAAGGGGGGAACACAACAGACATCAGTGCTCTTTAGGTTCTTGAGAGAGGATGTTGGCATCTTGGCGGCTTCTTCGGAGGGCTCCGTGGCCACCTGGGGCGGCCTCGAAGAAGCTTACAGCATCTTGGAAACCATGTGGAGCCATTGTAAGACAACTCGAGCCACCTCGGAGATCGTCGCGGGTCCTCGATGCCCTTTTGGAGCCATCTTGGGCCATCTTGGACGCTCTGATCGGTCGCGGGGCGCCCCACCTCAGGCCCAGGGGGAGGGGTCATGGGGACGGGCATATCCTTCCCCGCAGGGTTTTGAAAGCCACCTTCGCCCAGAGGGCTGGTGGGACTTTTCTAAGGGGCAGTCGGTGATCGATGATACCGTAGGCCGTCTTGCAGATCCTCTCAGAGCGCTATTCTTGGTGGCCTCTTTGGGTAACCTTCGGCCATCTTGGGCGTCTGGGAGCGTTCTTGGGTCGTCTTGGAGGCCTCTTGGACCCTCTTGGCCCGTTATGGGCCCCGCCGCCTTGAGGCTGCCCCCCCCCCCCGCCGAAGGCAGCCGCGAAACAGCCCTTCTCAAGAAATACCCCCTAACGCCAGGGCGCCAGCATCACTCACGTGTCGTCGGTAGTTGGTTGTCGTGATTGTTCGTCGTTCGTCGAGGTCGTTGCTCAAACGATGAATCAGTGGGATTACCTTTGGACGGTCAACGCGAATCTCTTGGATCTGAGGTGGGCCCCCTCCACGGCACCTCCAGCGACGCTCGTGGCGCGCTCCGCGCACCAAGGACTGGCGTCCGGCGCAGATACAGGAAATCCGCGCGGACCGTCGAAACATTCATGTTGATGCGGTGTTTCGTCCACCCCTCCCCCTAATTATTCCCCACCTTGCACCCTAACCTTCCGCACCTTTCTCGATATGATCCATGTGGGTTTCCTTGACTTGCGTAATGTTTCCATGAATGTGGATGAACTCTTCCGCACCTTCCGTGGAGGTCGGAAGGTATGGAAGGTGGAGGTGGAGGGTCTACCGTTAACGCAGAAAATTTCCCAGAAGGCGCGAGGGTTTCTGAGAAGTCCCGCTGCCTCCTGAGAAGGCCTTCTCCTTCACGAGATTCTTGTCTCCCCCCCTGGCGCGCCGCCGGGCCTCTACCGTTGTGGGTCGTCGTCGGGTTCGTCGTCCGTCGTCGTCGAGGTCGTTCGTCGTGGGCCGTCGGCCGTCGGTCGAAGAAGAAGGAACCGCATAACATGAACGGCTGGCCCCCCCCCCCGGCCCCCCCGGACGGCGCCTCCAGCGCCGCCCCTGGCGCGCTCTGTGTGCCGGGGAGGGGGGCCCAGCGCAGATCCAAGATAGATCCGCGCGGAGCGCCACAAGGTTATGTTTCGGCTTCTTGGTTCCTCTTCTGCGGTGGGGCCGCCTGCCAAGAGACTCCCTGCTTGCCTCCAGGGTGCCCGTGGATTCCTCGCGTCTCGACGGCTCTGCTGTGGAACGCGTGGTGTCCCCCACACGAGAAGTCAGCGCAGGTGGATAGACCTCCTACCCTGACACGTCGATTCAGGAAGCGGCCGTTTTCGGTTCGCGGGAGGGCGGCGCGGCCGTCATTTTTGCGGGTTCAGGTCAGTCGGTTTCGGTTCCAGGCCGTTTTTACTAAGGGGAGGTTTGCTAAAGGGAGGTTTGTCCACCGCCGAGCGGGCACCCAGGAGCTCGGGACGATCGACATGGGTACGGAAAGAATGGGTACAGTGCCCAACAGAATTTCCTGTCCATTTTGAGCAGGGCTCGCTGTCCGCGCCGCCGCGGCCCGTGTCCATTTCAGACAGAAGGCCGCCTGCCTAACAGCGGCGCCGCCGTTGGTCTGGGACAGCAGTGGTTCTTGGGCACTGTATCCATTTTTCCGTACCCACTTCGGGCGTCCGAAGGAGCTGCTCGGCCACCTGGACGTGCTCCTGCCGGGGGCCGCCGCCGCGCTCGGCAGCGCCCACACCGAGGTGCGCAAGGCGGGCGGGTGGGGGGGCCGCCGCCCACGCTCGGGGTCCAAATCCGAGGGCGACTGCCACGACGACGACGCCGACGCCGACGACCGTCGACGACGACGACAACGACGACGACGACGACCGCCGACGACTGACAATGAAGACGACGACGCCGACGCCGACGACCGTCGACGACGACGACGACGACGACGACGACGACGACGACCGCCGACGACTGACAACGAAGACGACGACGACGACCGACGACGACGAGGCCAACGACGACGACGACAATTGAACCGGCCTTAGGGTTTTTCGCCGTTTTCGGGGGCTCGGGGCCCTCCGCGGGCCCCAGGACCGTCAGAGACGGACTCGGGATGAGGGGATCTCGTCCTGAGGGGAGGCCCCGGGGCCAGGACCCGCTTCCCTCAGGGCCTCTTCCCCCCCTTTCTGCTGAACCGACCCATCACAGAGTGTTCCGAGAACCTGTGGTGGTTTGCGCGGAGCGCTCTTGGCACATTTGTGGTTGAGGCTGTTTTGCATGAATCAATCGGTTCCATGTTTTAAGAAGGAAGTCGGTGCTCATAGAACATGTTTTTTACCTAACAGCGAAGACTGATAGGTTTCTAGTGGTGTCAAAAGAGAGCAGCAGATGACTCCACAGGGGGGTCCGGGCGGCATCCGGGGAGCTGGGTCCGAACTCGTTTTTCGCAAACAGTCACACACTTCGTGCTCTTCGACCTCCCAGAACTCCATTCCCGGGCCACATTTTGAATGCCCGGAGCCAACTGTAGGCCACTTCGTGCTCTTCGAGTTCCCAGAACTCCATTCCCGGGCCACATTTTGAATGCCCGGAGCCAACTGTAGGCCACTTCGTGCTCTTCGAGTTCCCAGAACTCCATTCCGGGCCACATTTTGAATGCCCGGAGCCAACTGTAGGCCACTTCGTGCTCTTCGACTTCCCAGAACTCCATTCCTGGGCACATTTTGAATGCCCGGAGCCAACTGTAGGCCACTTCGTGTCTTCGAGTTCCCAGAACTCCATTCCCTGAGGCTGAGGCAGACTGAGGCTGAGGCTGAGGCCTGAGGCTGAGGCTGAGGCAGGCTGAGGCTGAGGCTGAGGCTGATGCAGGCTAGGCTGAAGGGCTTAGACTGAGGCTGAGGCTGAAGCAGGCTGAGGCTGAGGCTGAGGCAGGCTGAGGCTGAGGCTGAGGCAGGCTGATGCTGAGGCAGGCTGAGGCTGAGGCAGGCTGAGGCTGAGGCTGAGGCTGAAGGCAGGCTGAGGCTGAGGCTGAAGCAGGCTGAGGCTGAGGCTGAGGCTGAGCCGGCTGAGGTGGTGGCTGAGGCAGGCTGATTGTGAGGCTGAGGCTGAGCTGAGGCAGGCTGAGGCTGAGGTGAGGCTGAGGCTGAGGCTGAGGCTGAGGCAGGCTGAGGCTGAGGCTGAGGCTGAGGAGATGATTGAGGCAGGCTGACGGAGGTGAGGCTGATGCAGGCTGAGGCTGAGGCAGGCTGAGCCTGAGGCTGAGGCTGAGGCTGAGGCTGAGGCAGACTGAGGCTGAGGCTGAGGCTGAGGCTGAGGCTGAGGCTGAGGCAGGCTGAGGCTGAGGCAGGCTGAGGCTGAGGCTGAGGCTGATGCAGGCTGAGGCTGAGGCAGGCTGAGGCTGAGGCCGAGGCTGAAGGCAGACTGAGGCTGAGGCTGAAGCAGACTGAGGCTGAGGCTGAGGCAGGCTGAGGCTGAGGCTGAGGCAGGCTGATGCTGAGGCGGGCTGAGGCTGAGGCTGAGGCTGATGCAGGCTGAGGCTGAGGCAGGCTGAGGCTGAGGCCGAGGCTGAAGGCAGACTGAGGCTGAGGCTGAAGCAGGCTGAGGCTGAGGCTGAGGCAGGCTGAGGCTGAGGCTGAGGCAGGCTGATGCTGAGGCAGGCTGAGGCTGAGGCTGAGGCTGATGCAGGCTGAGGCTGAGGCAGGCTGAGGCTGAGGCCGAGGCCGAAGGCAGACTGAGGCTGAGGCTGAAGCAGGCTGAGGCTGAGGCAGAGGCAGGCTGAGGCTGAGGCTGAGGCAGGCTGATGCTGAGGCAGGCTGAGGCTGAGGCTGAGGAGGCTGAGGCTGAGGCAGCCTGAGGCTGAGGCTGAAGGCTGAGGCTGAGCAGCTGAGGCCTGAGGCTGCTGACTGATGAGGCTGAGGCAGGCTGAGGCTGATGCGAGGTTGAGGCTAAAGGCTGAGACTGCTGAGGCAGGCTGAGGCTGAGGCTGAGGCAGGCTGAGGCTGAGGCAGGCTGAGGCTGAGGCTGAGGCAGGCTGAGGCTGCGACTGCGACTGCCGTTGCCACTGCGACTGCCATCGCGAATGGGACTACGACTGCGAGAACAGCAGAATTCTACAAAAGGATTATCATCTGAATCTTAAGGGGAATGCTTCCAGATATGCTCCTACACATCGCTGTTAGGTTGCTTTGCCGGGATAATTTTGACATTTCGTTGTAGGCCTATAGGCATGCCAGGACGGTCGGTCCATCCCCACAAAAGGCGGACAGCAAGAGAGGACATCCAAATCGGAAACACACACACACATTAACAGGCACAATATCGTGACAACAATTCGGGGGCAGCATCCGGCGGGGATCTGGGAGGTTCTCATGCTTCGGGATGCGCTTTAGCGGCTGCGCCTCGCCGAGAGCGTTCCGATTTTGTCCAGATTGCCCGAACGTTCGCCGCAGACCCCACGTAGGACCCGAAAGCGGGTCGACTAGGATCACTCATGGGTAACGCCGGGGGGATGTGGGCTCAGGAGGAGAGGGAGGAGAAGGAGGAGGACGAGGAGGAGGAGGACGAGGAGGACGAGGAGGATGAGGAGGAGGATAATGAGGAGGCGGAGGACAAGGAGGAGGAGGAGCAGGAGCAGGAGCAGGAGCAGGAGGAGGAGGAGGAGGCGGAGAAGGACTGCTTTGGACTGCTCTGTGTGCCAAGAGGCCCAATCGGGAGACACCCCCAAGGCAAGCGCAACCGCGCCGCACTCGGAGCTGACGCCCCGAATGCGACACGGCACCGCCCCGCCGTAAAGGTGCGTCACCCTCCTGGGGACTGAGATAGGTACTGCTCTCCCAGCGGACCTCCCCACTCCAGCCACATCGCCGCTAGGCTTAAAACATCGGGAGGCGACTGACGGCCTCGCTCAAGCGCAACTCTCGCGAGAGCAGGGTCGCCTTCGGCGCCCCCTCACGAAGGGGGGAGAAGACCTCGCCGAATGCGGGAGAGATTTCCCACGCCCTTCCTGGTCGGCCGTCCTGGGCGCACGTGGACCATATTCTTGGGATCGTTGCTTATGGTGTAACTTCCACACCGCTGGCAGAGCATCACTGCGCATTCAGGCCAGAACGCGAGCCGGTGAGGTCCGTCGAGCTGCTCAGCTGCCCCGCCCTCGGCGGCCAGACACGGCGCAGTGCGACCTCCATCCGGTGCTTGCGCCACCTTCCCTGGTGGAATCGGCCCTCGGCACTCCGTGCCGCAACACTGCAACAGCCGGTGCGAGCGCACCATGCGGTGGCAGCCGCCACGCGCGTCCACCGCTCACCGCCGCGTCGCAGCTCCTGGTCGGAGCGCTGGCCACCGAGGCGGGCCGGAGTGCGGGCTGGACGCCGAGGGCCCGCCGCCCGCCTGCCCTGCGCACCGGCGACGCGACTGCAATCGATCTCGTCGGTGCCGGGGCGCGGTGCCGGCGAGGCCTTCGCGCGCGGGCCGCCCTCCGCGGCGGCGCCGGCCAGCAAGTCCGCCGCGGCCCTGCGCGGCGCCGGGAGGAAGGCGCGCTCGGAGGTGAGCTTACCAGCCTGGAGCCTATCCCTATCCCTATGTTGGGCATCGCCTCGTCACGATGGCGATCTCAGGGATTCCCTCAGTTTCTGAGGGTGCATCCCTAAGATTGTCATCGCCTTTTGGCGTGTCAATCTCAGGGGTAGGGATAAGTTCGAGGCTGGTTATGGACGTGCTCCTCCGTGGTGCGCCGCCACCCGCTCCGCCCGCAGCTCGCCAGGGCCTGGCGCCGCAGAGGCGGCCCGCGCCCTCTGCCGCAGGTCCTCGCTCGCGGGCCCCGCCGGGCCAGCGCCCTCCAGCCTCCCGCGCCGCGCGCGGAGCAACGGCTCGTGGCAAGTGGGTCACGGACCACGAGCCGTTGCCGCCTCGCCGCTTACCAACAAGTGATGTTGCTTTGGCGCGGTAGTTTCGAGTAGTTTCATGCCGTTTCATGTCGTTTCATGTCGTTTACAACGTTTTGTATGCGTTGTTTTATACACACGCCAGTTTCATTTAGTTTCATGTTATGCACGATGGTTTCATGTAGTTTCATGTTGTTTTATGTCGTACTTGTTTTGGAAGGGACACTGGACTCATGTATGTGGTCAATCCGAGCCCCTTACTCCGTGACGAACCGCACGTTGCCCGTAGTCTCCTCGAGCGCCAGCCCGAAGGCGAAGATCTCCGCTCGGGGCACTTGCTGGCGCCGACCTGCCAGCAGAGCCATGCGGCCCCGAGCTGGAGCCCGGGCGCCCTCGGGGCCCCTGCGGCATGCTCACGATGGCCGTCCCGCATCGGCGGCGGCGCGGGCCTGGCGAGAAAATGCCGCCCGAGCTGTCGCCGCAGACAAGCTCGCCGAGGTCGCCTCGCAGCTCGTCGAGGTCGCCTCCGAGAGGGGCCACAGCCCCCTCTGCGCCAGCGCCTCGTCGCGGCGCGGCCGCGGCGCCCCGCAGCCGCAGGGCGGGCGGCGCCTCGATCTCCCCCGAGCGCCCGCGGGAGGAGCCAGTCCGGCTCCTCGAGCGCCCCCTAGCGCCCACGCTGGCGGAGCACGGCCAGACCCCGTGAGCCAGGGCCTCGCGGCCCCGCCCGCCTCGCCTGCAGATCTCGGCAGGCAGCACGCAGCCCGCCTCCGCCTGAGCACAGCGACCACCGAGAGGTCGGGCCTCCACTCCGAGGGCAAGCCCGGGGCCGCCATGCGCCGCACCTCGCCTGCGATCTGCCAGAAGTCCGGGTCCTCCTGCAGATCCTCCCCCGCCTCGTGCACCGAGGCCTGCCTCCACAGCTGTGCCCGAAGATTTGCCTCCACATCGTCCAGCACGGCTTGGAACTCCGCGCGAGCCTGGAACTCGGGGTCGTCAGCACTGGGCAAGAACCACTCGTCCTGGCCCACGCGCGTGGGCTGGACCCACCGCGTGGCAGAGATGGGCGACCAAATGAGGTCAATCAAGGTGGCTTGCAGCGCGCCGAGCGGCCCCCGAACCCTCTGCCATTGGCAAGCCCCGGCCCGCAGAATGGCGATCCGCATGTGTGGCCACGCCCTCCGAACGCGCCGCGCAGCCGGGGCGCTGAGAACCAGAGGCCACACTACGACTCGACGACCTGCGCGCCCAGCACCACGTGCAGGCCCAGGAGCCCCATCGTCGCTGCCAGGGCCGAGGGCAGACACCGCCCTTTGGCAGCACCGCCCACCGCCTGGGCGGCCTGCCGCCGCAACTCAGGAGGGGAAAAAACACACAGACACAATTAATCGTCGACTCCCAGGGAAATATGAGAAAATATAGGAAGTGGGGGGGAAGACAAAAGCCCAGAAAACATAAGAAAACATGGAGAGTCTTCTTATTTGTGTGTCTTTGTTTGCGTGTCCTGGGGCCCCTTCAGCAACGCCAGGACGCGGCTCGGGGCCAGTCCGAAAGCCTGGTGCCCACAGGCGGCCTGCGGGGGGTCCCCGTCGACCAGAGACCGCGGCATTCCTGGGCCCGCGCCGTCGCCCCGCGCAGACGCACAGCGCGCCCCGCAGCCCCGAGCTCTGCTTCGCAGCCCCGGCCCACGCCTTCGGCGCGCTCGCCGCCTGCCCGCCGCCGCGCGTCGGTGCCGAGGCCGGCCGCCGAGTGGCACCACCCGGAACGGCATGCCCAGCTGCTCCAAGGCAGCCGGCACCTCGCCGGCCAGCTCCGCGGCCGTTGCCACTCCCGCAGATCAGCTCCTGCCCATCCGCGGAGGAGGAGGAGGAGGAGGAGGAGGAGGAGGAGGAGGGGGGGGGGGTTTGGGGGGTGACACTCGCCCGACACTGTTTCGACACTCGTGCGGCACTTTCTCGACACTTTTCCCGGTGCTCGAAATGATGTCTGGGATGTGGCCTTTAGGTTTGATGGTAAGTAGGATGGGACCAACATAACCCTCCGGATGAAAGTCTGGTACAGGGGAACGGGTCCAGATCTCGGGAGGCCCACGCTTTCTCTGGGGGCGGCGGTATCCCAAGGAGTCCCATGGACTTGTGGAGGATCCCCAAGGATGTCTTGAGGATTCCGATGGAGCGTTCATAATCATCTTGGTCATCATCATCATCATCATCATCATCATCATCATCATCAATCCTAGTCATTCTCATTATCATCACCATCATCATAATCATCATCATCATTTATCATCAGTTGTCATCATCATCATCATCATCATCATCATCATCATCACCATCATCATCATCATCATCATCAGTATCACTATCATCATCACCATCCTCATCCTCATCCTCATCGTCATCATCTTCATCATCATGCTGGCGCTGGCGCTGGTGGCGACAATGGCGATGATGCTGTCAATGAGCAGGCGGCGAAATGACCTGATGGCGGCGAAACTGGCGGAGATTGGCGATGATGATGACGGCGGTGGTGCGGTGGCGTTGGCGGGGTTACGATTAGGACGTGCGCGCGACGAAATTAAGCGAACGTGCCGTTGCTAACGCGCGGTTGTTCATGCGGTGCGCAAAAGATGCAGTTTGCATGGCTTCGGGCGCCAGTGGTGCGGGCAGGATTTCGCCACGCGGATGCGGATTGTTCAATGCGGATTTCTCTACTGGGCGCATGCTAGACCAACGCAGATGCGCCGCGCGGCGAGATGAGAATGCGCGTTCTGGACGAGATCATTGACACCTGATATTTTGCTCATGGCGTCAGCACATTCGCGCGGGCAGGAGACCTGGCATATTTGCATTGCAAACCTACATATGCACTATGCTGACCGGGTGCGTTTGGTCGATTGCGGCGCGCGCGAGGGGGGGCGTTGTTATGTCTCGGCGAAAGAATAATGCAAATCATCGCTCAAGGTAAACCAACGCGCGCGTTAAGTATCATATGATACGGACGAAAGTGGATCCGTGCCCAGCCTGGCTTGCACGCGCTGAGTTCATGTGGACCAGGCGACGAGACGCAACCGCGGGAGCAGGGTGAGGATTCATGTCTTCTGACGGAAATATGCGCGGTGAGATTCACGCGGTGCAATCTGCGCGGCGCAAGCGATGCGCATGCTACTCGGCGCAAGGTGTGCTGCGCAACCAGCTTTGCGGTACAGTCGTCGTTGTGTTATCTACGCGGTGCAATGTACGCGGTGCAAGCTACGCGGTGCAAAACATGTTCTGCAGGCTACGCGGCGCAGGCTATGTGCTGTAAATCACCAAATGTTCCGTTTGAAGTTGACCACTGCAGCGCTCGCGCAAACGCTCCACCCGCCCGCCCACCCGCAACTTGGTTTGCTGAACCCCATGCGGCGGCGATTGCGATGAGTGCTTGGCGCAGCCTGGTGCATCTCCGCGGGCGCGACAGCCCGTGCGCGCGCGCAGCGGCCAGCTAGTTTGGCGCGGCCGTCGCAGCCGCGGTGGCGCGGACCGAAGGGCATATCCCAGCGGGCACTTCGGTGCGAGTCGGCGACTTGGGCGGGCGCGGTACCGCGGCAACGTCGACAACTGTAGACGCGGCGATTGCAGCGGCGATGTTGGCGGCGATGCTGACAGCGACGACGGCGAGGCCAGCGACGGCGCGGATGCTTATCGTGCCGACGACGATGACGGCGCCCTCGCGCCGGCAATGAAGGTCTTGGAAAGAGTTCGACATGTGCGCGCGCGGCCGGCTTCCGAGCGTGGCCCGCGATGTATGACATGGCACGGGCCGTGCACCCCAGCACGCGCGCAAGGGCGCCCGAATGGTTTCGCAATGCGGCGCCAGTGGCACGTTTGGCAAAATTCCATGCGCATGTTGGAAAAAATGGCTTCCTCAAGAAGTCGCCAGAGCGCGAGCGCACGCATTGTTGAAAACTGATGTTGCGCAACCGCTTGTTTTCAATATGTTTCTGGGGCATATGATTTTGAAATCGCTACGAAACCGATAGCGTTCAGGGAAAGCCGGCATGCGCGCGCGACGACGCGCGCGCATTGCTTCCCATTTGTTGTAAAGAACTCTCGCATCGGTTCGCGCGCAAGGGCGCTGGAACGATTTCAGCATGCGCGCGCGAGTCCCGTTGGGTAGCGTGTCTTGGTTATGGTGATGAAGTGTTGTTGTTTTTTTATAGAATTTGCAACAAGAGCGCGCGCAAACTTTGTTTGAAATCCGTGTCGTGGAACCTTATGTCATGTAGGCATTCGGTTTTGAGACCGCTACGCAACCCAAGGTTTTTGACGGACTTCCGCATGTGCGCGCGACGACGCGCGCGTGCCCACGTCGTCTCATGTGTTGCAAGGGACGGTGGGAAACGTATGATTTTTTGGCTAGCGATTGCGCGCGCATTTTTTTGGCAAGGGCTGGCGGGGGGGTGATGCTGGCTTGTGTGGGATGGTACGAGTTCATCTGTAGGATGGACGATGGGGCACAACCTAGTGCAAGTTGCAACGCGGGAAGAGTTTACCCCCCGGGGGTAGAGTTCATGTTTAAACAAAGGAGAATTAACCAAGTTCTACACAGAGTTGTTAACCCAACCGTTCGCGCAAACACCCCACCCGCCCACCAGCATCTTGTTCTGCAAAACTCCCGCTGCCGTGGTTGTTGCGAATACTTGGCATCGGCTGGCGCATCTCGGCAGCCGCGCTGGCGCAGGCTTGGCACATTTGATGCGGTTTCGATGGCGTTTGCCGATGGGGGTTTTTCAGCACGTCTCAAAATCCGCGCTGGCGCGCGGGCATTCCAGCTCGGGCCGGTGGTTCGGGCACGGTTTCATAATGACGCCGACAGAAGCGCGGCAACCAGGATGACAATAACGACGGTTCCGGCGATGAGGGTGGTGACGACGGCACGGCCAATGACGGTGCCGATGTTGGTGACGACGGTGGCGATGAGTTGTTCCATGTGTCGGGGGTGAAGGCGACTCATTGATGATGCCGGTAATGGCGGCGATGGACAGTGACGGTGACAGCAGTGAGGCGGTGGCGTTGATGGGGTGATGGCGAAGAATTGCGCGCGCGGGACTTGAAGGAGCTTGGCAGGTATCCTCTTGAAAGCACTCGTTGGCGCCTGGAGGGATCCATATTGAAATGCTTCGCAAACCAAGAGATCTGGAAAACAAAACACATGCTGCCACACGCGCGCTCGCGTGGCGGCGCGCGCTTGGCCCGTATAGTACCATACGATACGGGTTCGTGCACTGGGCGCATGGTGGATTCGTTCGCATGCGCCGCACTGTGAGATGAGAACGCACCCTCTGGACGATGTTGGCAACATTAAACGGGTTGTTCCCTGATGTAGGCCCCTCATTAAGAGGCCTCAAGGACAGCCCAAGAGCCCGTCGAGAGGTTTTCCTGGCGGGCCCGAAGAGGCCAAAATCATTGATTTCCTTAGGTTTTTGAAGGATTTTTGCATTTTCGCTTGTTCGGCCTTCAGACGGCTCAAGACGGCCCAAGAGGCCCCCAAGATCGTCTCAAGATCGCCCACGAGGCGCAAATATGCGCGGGTAAGCCAATGTTGTTTGCTGGTTGTATGTTTGGAACGTTTGCTGGACGTGTGTGTGTGTGTGTTGGTATGATTTCGACATGTTGATTTGTTGTGCAAGGGGTGATTGAAAATATTTGCTGAGATTTGTTAGCGCGCGGTTACGATGGTATGAGTTCATATGGGACACGAACGACGTTCCAAGAAAAGGTTGCTTCAGCCGGGCTCGGGAGGGGGCGGGGTGGAGATTCTACCTGTCGCAGCGTGTGTTTCCGGGCACCCACGAAGCGCCCACGGGCGGGCACCGGGTGAAACACTGGCCTCCTCCTCCTCCTCCTCCTCCTCCTCCTCCTCCTCCTCCTCATGCCTCCTCCTCCTCCTCCTCCTCATGCCTCCTCCTCATGCCTCCTCCTCATGCCTCCTCCTCATGCCTCCACAGCGCGGGACGCCCACGAGGCGGTTGTGCGGGCGGGCACCGGGGGAGACCCCGGCGTGCCCACCCAGCGCGGGGCGGTCACGGGGCGCCCGGCGGGCGGGCCCCGGGCTGGAAATTTCGTGGGCCCGCCCCCCAGCGCGGGGCGCCCTGGGGGCGGGGGGGCCACGGGGGGCGGGGCCCACGCCCCCCCCCCCTGACTCTCCAGAGGGCTATGTTTTAGCACGGGAGGCCTACAAACCTAAACAACGAGACGAAACAGCCGAAACCCAAGACATAGAATAGCTCTGGGATGGGTTTTCAAGTCGCGTGCTGTTTTTTAGCCCTCCTGGAAGGTCAGGGTCTGGGGGCCCCAGAAGCTCCCCGGAGAGCGATCCGACGAGCGCCGCGTCGCCACAGGACAGTCGCGAAGCACCCTCGAGACGGCCTGCAAAGGTGGCCGGCGGCTCTCGAGGCGTCTCGAACGGCCCCACACGCGCCCGAGACGCTTAAAAACACACACGCGTCTAAGACGCCCGAAGGACCCCTCAGGAGGTCCCCCAAGAGGGGTCCGACAAGCACACATCGTCCCGCTCCCTCCGCAAAGCGTACAGTTCTAGCATCGTCGTTTTGGGGGGGTCTTCGTACCTTCCCTGACGACCTCAGAAGTTCCCAAGATCGCCCCAAGACGGCCCGTAGCCATTTTATAGCTCAAGCTGTATTTTGGCCCAAGTAGGCACCCTGCGCTACACATCAGACCCGAAAGGATGGCGAGCCTCGCGGGCGTCAGTCTCCTGGCCGTCGGCGGAGAGTTCCCACGACCAAGGCCAGCGGCAGCTTGGGCAGAGCTATCCAGCGTGGTTCCTGCGCCGAGGCAACCCTCGGCTCCCAGGATGACCCGCGGGCGCCCCAGCGCGGGCAGGTGGCTCCATTTCTCCGTGCCGCGCCAGCCGCCTGGTGAAGCCCCCACTGGCAGGATCCGTAGGCCCCCTGGTCTGTGTCGTCCCGAGCCTCCAGCTTCATTGACGTTCAGCCGGTTTCCCGAGACAGAGTACGGTGCGAACAAGTTCATGCCACCTGATTTGCTGCCCAGCATGGAGCTGGCCGGCAGTTTGGCAATGAGCGACCGCACGAGAGACAGCGAGTTAACCTCTGATCTTTACCAGGATTCCCCGAAGGCCTCCAGTGGGCATGGGGCTCCATTGGACCAGCGGGATCGCCGGCGTTGACGAGCGGCCCCCCGCGTTGCCGGGACTCACCCGTCCTCCCGGCCAGCTCGTCCGGCCAGAGGGCACGCCGCCCGACCTCGACGACCGCACGAGGTCCTCAGGGGCGGCCTAACCGACCCTTAGCAAACCATCCCCTTCCGTGACGTCCTCCTCGCTTCGCCGGGCGGCATGTGTATGCGTCTGGAGGGGAGCTCGAAAGGCGAGCATGACGTCACGGAAGGGAGGGCTGGACCTCAACGCTGTTCTGCTGGACTTCGGCTGTGTGTTGTTCCTCGCTCTTGGCGGGAAGGTGCAGGAGAGCAGGTCGGGCAAAGCGAACAACGAAACGAGAAGACGAAGCGAAAAGCAACGTTTCGCTCCAGCCCTGACGGAAGGGGGTGGTTTGCCAGGGGTCGATCAGGCCGCGCCCCAGGTCCCCGTGCCGCGCGGGCCCGAGCCAGCTCGGCAGCGAGCAGGCGGGGCGGCCCCCGCGCCCGCACGCCCGTGCCGCGCAGGCCCAGACCTACCCCGGCAACGCCAGGAGGTCGCTGTCGGCGAGGGGCAGCAGGCGCCTGTGCGATGTGCGTTAGGGGGGGGCCGAGGAGCAGCTATGCTCGGCCTCGCGCAGAGGGGGCTTCTTAGAAGCACCCCTGCCTCCTAGAAGGCGCGGGCCTTCTCTACAGATGCAAGGCTGGCGCCTTCTCAGGAGCAGCCTCCTTCTTAGAAGCCTTCCCCCTCCTCCTACCCCCTGTACGCGCGCCGCCGATCTTTGCGTCGGGCCTGTCCCTCTGCAGGAGGAGTATGCAAGAAACGTCAAACAGGAAAAGAGTTGGTCTGGGGACGATTATTTTGTTCTGAGTTGTTGACCATCTTTGCGCATGTTGTGACTACTGCTCATGTTTTGTCAAACATCCGCCTGTAGGAGGACATGCCCGACTGAGAGTAGCTCTGGAGATGGCATGTATGTGGGCGGCTGGACAAGGTCCGGGTTTACGGGACGCGCCAGGAGCCATCATCCGCAGAGGGCAAGCAGCAGGGATGCGTACAACCCGCGGGTCGCGGGCCCGAAGTGGGTATGATTGGTTTTCGGTAGCTACTAATTTGCGTGAGGCTCCAATCGCATAAGCAATGATCGACCGATACTTTTTCAACATGGCCGAGAGCCAGGCGCGGGGGCTAGTTTTTGGCTGGTCAGGCCAGGGCATCGCCCCTTCGTCGACTTTGAGTGTACTATTAGCACCCTCCACCCCCTTCATAGGTTTTCTTTCTGGCAGCGTCCCTGGCAGGACCTGGAACTGCCCGCAAGCTCGCTTGGCACCTGGTCCTGCTTTGTTGGGTGCGGAGTTATAAGTAGTTATAGGTTAGGTAAGTGGTTCTATTTTAGGAGAGGTTTGGATGAGTTAGGATTGGTTAGGAGGCCCAATAGGTTCCATAGGAATGTCGATAGTGATAGTGCCCGATAGCCCCCCCTGTGTTTCACTATAGGATCTACAGGAACTTACAGTGTCCTATCATCAGCTGAACTCGTAATCCCTAAACTTATGTATGTGTCCCTATTGTTTTTGCTATTTTTCATTAGTTGCTCACTATTTGTTACACTAATTTCAATATTTTCACTATTTATCACTATTTTCCACTATTTTCAGGGGGCACTGCTCTGGTTCCAGTTCCGGTTCCGGTTCCGGATCCGGTTAGGGATCATCCCTCATCCCTCTCCATGCGTCCGGTTCCGGTTCCGGTTCCGGATCCCCGCCCCCGCTCTCAGGCAGCGCGCGCTGCTCTGGTTCCGGTTCCGGTTCCGGATCACCCCCCCCCCTCAGGCAACGCGCGCTGCTCTGGTTCCAGTTCTGGTTCCGGTTCCGGTTCCGGTTCCGGTTCTGGATCATCCCTCATCCCTATCCCTCTCCATGCGTCCGGTTCCGGTTCCGGTTCCGGATCACCCCCCCCCCTCAGGCAGCGCCCGCTGCTCTGGTTCCAGTTCCGGTTCCAATTCCGGTTCCGGTTCCGGTTCCGGTTCCGGTTAGGGATCATCCCTCATCCCTATCCCTATCCATGGGTCCGGTTCCGGTTCCGGTTCCGGATCCCCCCCCCCCCTCAGGCAGCGCGCGCTGCTCTGGTTCCGGTTCCGGTTCCGGTTCCGGATCAACCCTATCCCTCCCGCCTGGGGTTCTTACTGCGCCCTGCCGCGGGCACGAGGTGGGGCCCGGGATGGGGCCCTCGCGCCGGGAGGCCCGGGGGCCCTGCCGTGGCGCTGGGGGCCTTGCAAAGTCGCCAGAAGACGGCCCTGGATTGCCAGAAATGGCGTTTCCAGACAACGAACACGACCAATGACCGCCCGAGATCACCCCAGAATTGGTCCCTGACTGTCCAAGAGGCCTCCAAGACGCCCCAAGAGGTCTCCAAGATGCCCCAGAAGGCACAACTAATTTGTTTTCCCTTGGTTTTTGATCGATTTTCGAGTTCTCGCCTTTTGAGTTTCCTGACGCTCCACGACGGCCCAAGAGGCTTCAATTTCCGCTCCAAGGCATCCCCAGAGGCCTCGAAGACGGTCTCAAGACAGCCCACGGGGGTCCGAAGACGGCGCCAGAGGCGTCCAAGGCGGCCCGAGAGGGCCCCAACACGGCCCCAAGATGGAGGGTTGACACGAACCGAGAATCCGAGTCTTCCGTCCCGAGAGGCTCTCAGGAGGCCCCGAGAAGCCCCTAACAGGCTCCAAGAGGCCCCAAGAAGCACCCCAGGGGGCCGAAGCGTATCCAAGAGGCCTCCCACGAAGGCCCCAAGAGGCACCAATCCATGTCTTGCCGTAGGTTTTTGATTGATGTTCGAGTTTTCAGCCTTTTGGCGTCCTGACGCTCCAAGACGGCCCAAAAGGCCTCCAAGACCAATCCAAGATAGCCCACGGGGCCTCCAACAGGACCCAAGACAGCCCGAGAGGGCACCAATACGGCCCCAAGGGGGGCCCAAGTGGGGTAAGACGAACCGAAAATCTGAGCCTTCCACCTCGAGAGGCTCTCAGGAAGCCCCAGAGGCCCCTAAATGGGACCCAAGAGGCCCTCAAGAAGCTCCCCAGAAGGCCGAAGAGGTTCCAAGAAGCAATGTTTTCCCATCGGCTTTTGATTGATTTTAAGGCTCCCAGCCTTTTGGCATCCCGACGCTCCAAGACGGCCCAAGAGGCCCCCAAGACCGCAGAGGTCTCCAAGAGGGCCCCAAGACGACCCACGAGGGCCCCAAGACGGTGCCCGAGGCGCCCAAGACGGCCCGAGAGGGCCCCAAGAGGGCCCCAAGAGAGCCCTAAGAAGGAAAACGCGAACCCAACAGCACAGCCGTTCGCCCTAAGAGGCCCACAGGAGGCCCCAAGAGTCCCCAAGTGGTTCGACGAGGCCCCAAAAGGCTCACAGGAGACGTACACGGGGCCCCAAGATAGCCGAACAGTGCTCTCGATGCATCAAAATTGCTTCCAGGAGGCCCTGGGAGGCTTCCGGATTGCCCCAATGTGGCCTCAAGCCGGGCTTCCACGCAGCCAAGACGGCCAATTGACTGCTTCAGACTGCAGAACGTCACTTTCCGACTGCCTGGAGAACCCTGATGATGCCCCCAAGGGACCCCAAGAAGCCCCAAGATGCCCCCCGAGAAGCACCCAAGATGTGCCTGCAACAGCCAATTGAGGAAGCATGGAGAGCCCCCCAGAAGCCCTTCAGATGCCCCCACGAAGACCCAAGAGGTTTCCAAGAGGCCCTCGGGAGGCACGACTATGTCACGCCCCTGTGCTGAATAGCGCTGTCCAAGATCTTCAAGCGCGCCCCTGGCCTGGGCTAGAACCTGAGCGCGCGCGAAGCGCGCGCGATGGTTCTAGTATATATATATATATATATATATATCTCTTATATATAGAATATATATATAAATAGATATATATATATATATATATATATATATATAATTTATAAAATATATCTAATCGATATATATATATATAATATATATATATATATATATATAAATATTAAATATATATATATATATATATAAATATATATATATAAATATATATATATATATATATAATATATATAATATATATATATAAATATATATATATATATAGATATAATTATAATGCATGCATAGATGTAACAAGTTTATGATAAATATATATATATAATATATATATATATATATATATCAGACTTATGACTACAGGTCATTGGGGTATCTCGGGGGTCCCGCAGTAATCGCCGATCTTATCTCGCAGCTTTCTTGCTCTGATGTCTTTCTGTGCACCGAGGGTGCACGTCGGCGCGCGAGCGAGCTGATAGCAGCTCGCCTCTGCAGGCCGCATGGCGGACGGCGAGGGCGCCACGGCGGCGGCCGTGGGCGAGAGCCGCGCCGTGCGGGCAGGTGACTTCATCCAGGTCACGTGCTATGACGACGCCGACGCCGTGCAGGGCGAGGCCGTGTTTCGGATCGCCAGCCTGTACGAGGCGAGCGAGCACGGCCAGTTCGCACGCGCTGAGTTCCTGTTCTGCACTGATCAGTATTTGCAGTGGTACGAGGAGAATGCGGGATCCCCTGGAGCCAGGAAGTTAAAGCGTGTTCTCCATTTTTGTCCAGAGGATGAGACGGCCATCCTATGCGCTGCGGAGGCGGGCCCTGGCGTGGAGGTAACGCACGTCGACGAGTTCGTGGTCCTTGAGTCGGTAGAGGAGGCGTACCTCCAGTTCCGGCGACGCAATCCTGCTGCGCGCTGGCCTGCCGAGCTGGGGCCCGAGCCGCTGGAGGAGGAGCTGGGGGATCCCGTGGACGAGGAGCTAGTGCCCGCCGAGCTGGACGAGTTCGGGCTCGCCGCCAAGGTCGTCGACTCCGCGGGTGAGCTCGAGGCCGCTCGCGAGGCGGAGGGGCCTGGCGCCGCCGCGGGCCCTCCTGGGCGTGCCGCCTTAAAGGCGCGCGGTCGGCCGCCCGCTCGGGCTCGGCCACCTGCCGCGGCCGCGTCGGAGCCCGCGGGGCTGCCTGGCGGGAGCGTTCGCCCCCGCGGCACCGCCGGCGGGGAGACCCCGCTCGAGGCCGCCGCCGCCGCCGCTGCGAAGGAGCCTGCAGGGCGCCGCCCTGACGAGGAGATGCAGGCGATCCTCCGCAAGAGGCTGGGCGACTTGAAGGGTCGTCTGGGCGCCGAGGGCGACGCTGCCGCCGAGCCTCGAGGTGCCGCTACTGAGGGGGCCCCGCTCAAGAGGAAGTCCCTGGATGAGATCCTGGCTGAGAGGGCGGCGAAGGCTCCCAGGCGTGGGCCCGCGGACGGGGGCGCAGCTGGCAGCGGAGGCCTGGCGGGCGCTGGGCCCGAGCGTGAGGGCGGCGGGTCTACCGCTCACCTCCTTCGCTCGCTGCTGGGCGCGCTCACCCCTGCCGAGGGCATCGAGGGCTTCGGCCTCACCGACGGCTTGGAGCTCACGCCTGGGAAGTCGCTGGCTGCCTCACGAGCGTTCTTCAGGAGGACTGCTCGCGACACTCCAGGGAAGCTGCTGACGGCCCATTTGTCGCACCTCAATCAGTTTCTCAGCACAAAGGGCATGCACGACGCCGAGGAAGAGCTCCCTCCGATAGTTAACAAGTTCCTGCTGAACATCTTCTTGGCCTCGCACCCTGTTTCAGCAATCGGCGAGGACATGTTCAGGCAGATGCGCACTCTGTCCGAGTCCCTGGACCTCTTGATCCAAGGGAAGCTCCCGGAGGCCATGGACATGCTCATGCAGAGGTTCAATGCCTGCCAGCTCGCCTGCAAGGATAAGCATTGGAGGAGCGCGCGCTGGCTGGAGCTCATCCCTCCCGATGCCGACATGGCTGCCATCAATATCGAGGAGGAGGAGCTTCTGAGGAAGATCGAGTACGGCGAATTGAAGCTCGCCGAGCTCGCGGGGAAGCTCAAGCCTGTCGGCTAGGGACTCGGCCGGGGGCCCGCTCCACCCGGCATGGGAGCGACCCCTGCAGGCCACCCCAGCGACGGGGCGACTGGTGGGCCAGCTGGAGGTCGGGGTTTTCAGGAGGCGGCTCGCACTGCAGAGGTGGCGGGCGCGAGTCGCCAGCCTCCACGCCCCCCGACGACGGACAGGCCCTCCAGGACTTTCAAGGACTTGAAGCTGCAGAACCCCAAGAAGGACGGCGAGACGCAGGGCAAGTACCGGCAGCGCCTGGCGCTGCTCATGCGGGGCGACGGCCCCAAGAGGCAGGCGCCGCCAGTGCAGGGCGGTGCTCGCAAGGTCATCCTGGAGGGCGAGGGCTCGCAGAACCAGGCCGCCAAGCAGAAGACTGCCGCTACATGGGCGGCACCTCGGCGGTGACGCACGCCACCGAGGCTAATTCGTCGTGTGCCAGCGGCGGAGCGAGCTGGCCTTGGACGCTCACTAGCATGTCCGACCTGAGGGCCTGGAAGTCCAGGCTTGCTGCGGCCCTCGAGGATGGCATGACCCCGCTCACCTTCGCGCTCTGGCTGACAGATGCTATGTTCACACACCCTGGCAGGCTGGGCAGGTTCTGTCGGGGTTTTCATCACCACGCGCATTCACCGCAGCAGCAGGGGCAGAGGTTTCGTGATGTGCTGCCTCTTGCTGCTCCATCATTGGACAGTGCCAGGGCCTGGAAGGGTACGTCGAGGGGGTCAGCGGCGGGGCCCTCGGGCGAACCTGGACCCGATTTTGATGGGCCCTCTGCTTGCGCTGTCGCTGCCGAACTGTGGCTCTTCATCCAGGTTATGCTCACGAACTACCAGTATGCGGGCACGTGCGGGGAGGAGGCGTGGGGCCACCACTCGCACTACTCTGCCGCTCAGGCCAACGCCGTCGAGGCCATGAGGGAGGCTGTCTCGTATTTCCTCAGGGGCGACCTTGGCAGGGTTCAGCTGCCCCTCCTTAGTGAGATCACGACGCGGGCGTCCAGCGCTTACGACATCGACAGTGGCACGCGTGCGCTGCCCCTGAGGCTGGGAGAACTACGACCTGGCCTACCAGCAGCTGATGTCGCTGGCCGGCTGGACCCTCGTGCTCATGTCAGCCCTGAGGTGCTCACCTGGTTGGACGACCCGTCGGTGGCCCTCCTGCCACGTGCCCAGTGGCCTTCTGAGGTTCCGAAGGCGAGGCTGCTGGTCGACTCGCCTGCGGAGTGGGCGAGGATCGTTGGCCACTTGTACTCGCTCGGGATCGTGGAGGCCATACAGGACGAGCGGATCTTTCGGGCGGACGGCGTCCCCGTGCTCAACGGCGCCTTCGCAGTTGAGAAAAGGGGCGTGCCCGAGGCTGGTGAGCAGAGGCAGTGCCGCTTCATCATGAACATGGTGCCAGCGAATAGTTACCTGAAGATCATGACCCAGGACCTGTCGACGCTGACGGCCTCGACCTCTTGGGTTACGGTGGTGTTGGAGGGCCAGCGCGTCTTGCCCTGGTCGGGTGACGACCAGCAGGGTGCCTTCTTTGTCTGGAAGATCCCGCGGGCCTGGCGCAGCTTCACGACGTTGAAGGGCCGCGTCCCCGGCCGCCTCGTGGGCCGCCCAGATCTGAAGACGGTGCATGTGTGCTCAGCCGTTATACCGATGGGCTGGCTGCTGGCCGTCACGTTATTCCAACACCTTCATAGACGCCTGGGCCTGCGCCCCCCCCCCGCTGGAGCGGGCCTGCCTGAGGTTGATGAGTGGAGGAGGGACAAGCCGCTCCCCATTGCTCAGGTGGGCGGTTGCAGGTCTTGGCACCAGTTCTTCATCGACGACTTCGATACCCCCAGGATCGTGAACGACACCGAGGGGGAGGTCGGCGTCGGCTCTGCTTACCAGAAGCGACAGAGGGCTTCCTACCAGCGCAACGGCGTGGCCTGGGCCGAACGCAAGGCCCACCTCGGGGAGACGAAGGTCGAGAGGATGGGCGTGCTCGTGGATGGTCTGCGCGGGCGCGTCTCGGTACCTCTCATGAAGCTCTTCGAGACCATGCTCTTGGGGGCCCTGCTGGTGACCAAGGACTGGGTCTACTGGAAGACCATGCTCGTGCTCCTGGGCAAGCTCGTCAGGGCTTTGGAGTTCAGGCGCGTCCTCTTTTGCATCCTCAACGAGGTCTGGAAGTTCGCTGATGGCACTCACTCTGGCTGGGTCAACTCGGAGATGACCGAGGAGATCCTCAGCGGCGTGGGCCTCCTCCCGCTTGCCTTCACGGACCTTCGCGCGGAGGTCGATGCGAGGGTTACCTGCTCTGACGCCTCGGAGGATGGTGGAGGCGCCTGCACGTCACTGAGGCTGTGCCCCGAGGCCCTCTCGAAGCTGACGGCTGCTGCCGCTGCAGGCCAGGAGGGCAGGCAACACCTCATGGCGGGCCGCCTGCTGCTGGGCGAGGCGTCGCTTTGGCGAGCGTGGGAGTCGAGGAACCCTGGTTTGCCGCCCCCTGCTGGTGATAAGATACCTGCTGTCCTGGTCATAGGGCTGTTCGACGGCATCGGGGGCATGATCGTCTCGCTCTCAAGGCTCCGCACGAAAATCATTGGCTACGTCTCGTCGGAGGTTGACCCCAGCGCGCGCAGGGTCGCCAGGAAGAGGTGGCCCGGCCTCATCGACTGGGGGAACATCAAAGACGTTGGGGCTCAACACATTGACAAGCTGGTCCAGCTCTTCGGCGGGATCGTCGACGTGGTCTACTGTGGCGCCGGCAGTCCATGCCAAGACCTGTCGAGGCTGATGTTCGGCAGGAGGGGGCTCGAGGGCCAGAAGAGCGCTCTCTTTCGCGAGATACCGCGAATCCTGGGGCTGCTGAACGCCGCGTTCCCTGGGAAGGTCCGCTCCCTCATCGAGAACGTCGCCTCCATGCCATTCGAGGACATCGAGCGCATCTCTAGCGAGCTCCAGGTCACACCCTATCGGTTCTGCAGCAGTTGCCTGGTCCCCAACAGAAGGCCGCGGTTGTACTGGCTCTCGTGGCGTTTGTTGCCGTGCAAGGGCTATAGCTACAAGGACATGGGGCACTTCGTCGATGTCATCTCCGACGGCGCGGCGCGCGTGGAGCTGCCCTGGACCTCCCCTGGCTGGATCTGGAATGGTGGCCCGCTGCCTGTGCCGACGCTAGTCTGTGCTAGGCCCTCTTTGTTACAGCCTACTCGACCTGCTGGAATTGCTCGGGCCAGCCCCGAAGCGAAGGCTCGTTGGAAAAAGGACGATCATCGTTACCACGTCGGCCTTTACGAGAACGCCTGCCTACTCCAGCATGAGGCCACCATGGAGCTCCGCCCCCCGTCGGCAGAAGAGAGAGAGGTCCTCCTGGGGTTCGATCGAGGATACACCGAGTGTGCCGTAAAAGACGGGTCTGGCTCGAGCCTCGAGACCACGCGCTGCTTCCTGCTTGGGAATAGCTTCTCAGTCTATGCGGTCTCATGGCTGCTGCAGCACTCCCTGGTCGCGGACGAGTTCCAGCCACAGCTGTGGGAGCCCCATGCCCTGTGCCACACGGGCAAGTGCAGGGCCCCGTGGAACGACAGCGCGGTCTACCACCAGGGCGACGACTACCAGTACGAGCCCGAGGCGGAGCAGCTCGTGCGGCACTACCTGTCTATCGCGGAGAGAGGGGGCACGGACGTGCGCTTGGACGTGCACCTCCCGTTCCGGCACCGCGCGTGGCCGCGCGTGTCGCTCGAGCCCAACGTTTGGATGTGGAAGGTGATCTCAAGTTACCGTTGGCGTGCTGGAATCGGGAAGCACATCAACGCCCTCGAGATCCAGGCGGCCGTGAACACCATCAAGTGGAGGCTGCGGTCGGGCACGGGCCGCCCCAGGCGCATGCTACACCTGATCGACAGCCAAGTCGCCGCTTCGGTGCTGACAAAGGGCCGCAGCAGCAGCAGGGTCCTGCGGATGCACGTCAAGCGCTGGGGGGCCTTGTGCTGGGCGACAGGCTGCTACGTCATGCTTGGCTACATCGCGTCGGAGGACAACCCCGCCGACGCGCCATCCCGAAAGGTGTGGCAGCTAAGAGGCTCTCGCCGCAAGCCCAGAGGCTCCAGCGGTTGCGAGGCTCCCAGAGGCTCTCTGATCTTAGGGCCAGCGCGGTCACGCTCAAGAGGTACCGTATCGCCGTCGCGGAGTTCCTCGCCTTCGCCATCGAGGGTGGCTTCCCGCTGAACAGCTCGGCCGAGGCAGACAGCGCGCTGGGCGCCTACGTAGAGGACCAGTGGGCGAACGAGGGCACGCTCAGCCATGGGCGCTATGCACTCGCCGGTTGCCTCTTCTTCGCCCCCGAGCTCCGCACGGCCCTGCCCTTTGCGCGGTCCCTGGTCAAGACGTGGCAGAAGCTGGCGCCCATCAATCGCGCCTATCCGGCCAGCCCCGAGATGGCGCTCGGGCTTGCAGGCGCTGCAGTGGTCCCTGGTCAAGACGTGGCAGAAGCTGGCGCCCATCAATCGCGCCTATCCGGCCAGCCCCGAGATGGCGCTCGGGCTTGCAGGCGCTGCAGTCTCGGTTGGCCAGCCTCTGTTGGCTGCCCTGGTCCTCGTCACGTTTGATGCGATGCTTCGGACCAAAGAGCTGCGTGATCTTACATATGATGATATCACGTTCGCCGAGGGCGGCGTCATACTGCGCCTGTCGGAGACGAAGATGGGCGTCAGGACCGGCAAAGTGCAGTTCGTCGTGGTGCGAACGCCCGCCGCAGTCAACTTGCTGCGGGTTGCTGCGGAGCGCGCCCAGCCGACGGACCATCTGTGCCCGTACACGTACGTGCAGCTCCAGCGGCTCCTGAAGTCGCTCCTCGCTGTCGCCTCGATCCCGCCTGCGCGCTGGTCCTGGTGCAGCTTCAGGCGAGGAGGCGCCTGCCATGACTTTCTTTTGGGCGCCAATCTCGAGCGCACAATGCAGCGTGGGAGATGGAGTGCCGTGACTTCTGCACGTGTGTATATCGAGGAGGCTGTCGCCGACCTTGTAGATGTCTCAATGAGCCAGCTCTCGAAAGATATATTGAGCCAGCTTGGCCTAATGCTACTGAATTCCGGCTATAGCCAGTAAAAGGTGTGTATGGAGAGGCCGCGGCGGCCACCCTGGAGAGTTTTTTCCTTCGGTGGCGGGCCCCCCGCTTGTACCGTGCCCTCGGCCTTGGGACCCCTGGGCCGCTCCGTGGGTCCGTGGTTCGG